TGGTACGCGTGGTACCGTAATAGGATGCCACCTGTGCAATAAGTCCAGTCGTGAAATTTCCTCGCTACAAAATATTCCACAGTCAAATGTTAGTGGTATTATAACAAAGTGGAAGCGACTGTGAACGACAACAACTCAGAGCGAGCACGTAGCATGTGGCGTACCTGACTGTTTATCCAGGGCTTCTGGTTGGGAAACCTCATGACTTGGTAGGCACAATGTTGTTGATACAGGTACTAATGTATCCGGTCACATACTCAGCATAATCCTGTACGTTGACAGAAAAGTCCTCTGAGGTGGCTGCAGCTTTAAACACATCCCAGTCTGTCGTGCTTCTCTGTCTGGCAATCCGATGGACAATTCTGAGTTTGGCAGTTGCCAGGAGAGCAGTACTTTTCTGACTGCATTGTGCCAAGTGTAAAGTTTGGTGGAGGGGGGATTATGATGTGGGGTTGTTTTTCAGGAGTTGGGCTTGCCCCCTCAGTTCCAATGAAAGGAACTCTTAATGCCTCAGCATACCAAGACATTTTGGACAATCTCAGGCTCCCAACTTTGTGGGAACAGTTTGAGGATGGCCTGTTCCTGTTCCAACATGACTGCGCACCAGTGCACAAAGCAAGGTCCATAAAGACATGGATGAGTGACTTTGGTGTGAAAGAGCGTGACTGGCCTGCACAGAGTCCTGACCACAACCCGATAGAACATCTTTGGGATGAATCAGAGCGGAGACTGCGATCCAGGCCTTCTTATCCAACATCAGTGTCTGACCTCACAAATGCGCGTCTGAAAGAATGTTCAAAAATTCCCATTAACATACTCCTAAACCTTGTGCACAGCCTTCCCAGAAGAGTTGAAGCTGTTATAGCTGCAACGGGTGGGGCAACATCATATTAAACCCTATGGATTAAGAATTGGTTGTTACTCAAGTTCATTTGCATGTGAAGGCAGGCGAGCGAATACTTTTGGCAATATAGTGTATCTGCTACAGCGAGGGCTGCTATTTGCAGCCCGAGTGTTGCTAGGCTTGTCTCGTCTGTCCACAGTGAACCTTTCTGATTCTCTCAGCACTAAAACTGTCTGGCTGGCCCAGTTTAACCTGCAGGAGGGTCTGAATTTCTGATTACTGAAAACTCTCTTTACTGTTTGAACCAGAGAAAAACCATCCAACACCCAAGAATCACAGCTGTTACATGTACATATATGAAGCATGAATGTGATTTACTAGGTGGGTTTAGCCACTGTATTTCATGTTTGACTTGAGAGAGAAAAGACTCTTCTTCTTAGATTAATGGGAGCTTAGAATCAGATGTTGGGAAAGGTGGTGGGGGGGGGTCACCTTATATTTGGGCCAGTTATTTACTATTGCAAGTTTGTGGTTAATTAACAAAAATATGACAATTTTCCTTTCATGTCATGCATCCTCCCATGAGTTCAACAGGATTTAAAGGCTCAGGATCTGGTGTGGTCTGGCATTTGACAAAAACCTGCACACAGACAGAGACAGAGAGGGACCCCGGGTGTCGAACATCATCAGTGGACGTGTACATTTTGGTCATAAGAGCATTTCCTGTACAACTTGCAGAGCTTACAGATTCAAGGTGTGATGCAAAAGTTCACTTTCTTTCACAGTTTTCACACTGTAACTTTTGTAAATGTAATAGATTTGTCCTTGTTTCATCGTTAGCAGCTCTTCAGTGTTTTGTCATCACGTGGGTATTTTGGCTACCTGATATTACTTGATGAGACACTGGGATTCAGGAGTGTGAATCTTTCCATATTGCTTACTAAGATTTAAACTGTCCCAGAGCTCTGCAGTGTAAGAAAATACACCAACACAATGCATCGGACACATGTAGGTGTCTGTGGACTCACACAAACAGACCTACATCATGATAACGCTAAGTGGCCATTCTGGAGCATAAACTAGCAATATGTGTGAAAAAAGTATTCATTTAGAGGATAATTTCTCCAACAGCCCCTGACTGCTGCTGCTTTTGGCTGCTTCAGCTCTGAATCACTTCAGTTACAGCCATAAAAATCCAAATGTTCTTCCTGTAACTTCATTCCAGTGAAACTGGAGGAGTAATGTGCCTTCTGATAAAAGTGCAGTGAACTGGAATCATTTGAAGGGAATGAACAGCAGCCCACTCTGTGAAATATTCTTTCACCATCATGACCCCTCTGAGGCAACAACCGTTTCTAGAAGCCCACACATACCCTCTCTGTATATCCACCGACTTTCAGGCCAAGAACTACAATAGGTCAAGCTGGAAAAGTTAATTTAAAGCAACAGTTTGGGCTGCAACAAGCAATTATCCTCAGTCTTCATTATTCTGCCGACCGCTGTGTCCATGTGTCATCTATAAAAAACTGAAACATACTGCTCATTTTAGGCAGCCAACAGTGCACACACTAAAGGTTTAAATATGTCCCAAAGAAACATGAATGAGTAAAATGACTAGAAATGTTCATTTTAAACTTTGATTCAAGATTGGTCTGTGTGGACTGTCTGAGACTTTTCCCCATACGAGTTCCTCTCCACCATCTCTTAACGTCACCTCTCTGGGCCTGTCAGACCTTTGTTAATAAGGATTTGTATGAATATCACTGACATGCACTGCACTGCACTGACTATACACATCAGTGTGATAAGATGCCTTGATTTCTGTCCTAGTTGGCTGTTGTGTCCGTTTGTACTTTATCTTCATTTTCAATATTACACTGTGAAGAGATTTTGTGATATAAAAGAGGATTTTAAACCCTGCTTCCTACTCATGCTGGTTTTACTACTTCCTGGACACTGCCCTCGCAAGAAAAACATTACTTACAGTGAATAATGTGCAGGAAAAAAATGACAGTTCACCAGAAACAGTACTGATGCTCTGTGACACTGAATGTTCACACCCTCAGACAACTTCAATTGAATCCAGGCGATAAGCTGCAGATTTCATGGGGTTGGGGTTTGTTAAAGCAGTTTATTTCATCTTGGAGGTTTTAACTGATCACTAAGACTGTGGGGGTGTTACCACTGTTCAGTCTGCTTGATCACAGCTGGGGTCACTGTCTCCTCACCACATCTCCACCTCCACTGGTCAGACTGTCATCAAACTCACCATGGAATCCTAACAGCATCTGGCACTGTTTGTGAGGCTGTGCATCTCCATGCAAAGTCAGTGAGGCAAAGATGAAACCATTTCAGCTTTAGGAGGAAGTCTGTGTTTATCCTGTGGCTTTATAAATCTGTTTCACAATCGAGGACAGAGGGGAGACGCTGAGAGATAACAGAAAGAAGTGAACTTTCTGCTGATTTCAGAGATTAGTCAGAGACAGAACACAAACAGTCGGAGCTGATATGTTTGGGCTGAACAGACACAAACACTCTGCCAACACTCTGGTCCAGTTATATTTTTGGGATCTCACACATGTCTACAGTCTTTATCATTGTCAGAACGGTGGATTGCTTGAACAGGGTGAAACATATGAATCCAAGATTTCCACCGTCTGTGCCTCTCCACTCTGCTCATCATCTGCTTTGGATGTACATCAAGTGGGCTCCCTAATGCTCCGTAGCTTCTGTGGCCAATGACTTCTGACCTACAGTATTTACCCCATGATGCCTGTGATGTTGCTGATTTACTAACTGAAGCGTCTGCTGCTGGTAGTCTCAACAATAGCTGAATTACTTTAGTGTTATATAACCGTCTTTTAAGTGCCAACCCCTGAGCTATGTTGGCACCATCAGCTCCACTCTGATTTCCTGTTCTCAATAAAACCAAAACAAAGTTCAGGATTCCCCAAAAGGATGAAGAGGATTTGGAGCTCTAACAGGGCCAGCTATGTCAAATAGATTAAGTAGTGTGTCTGTCACCAGTCTCTGAATCCTGTCCTCCACATCCAGCAGAGTAAAGATGACTAACCAAAGTGACCTACCTCTGTCCAGGGAGACGTATGGGTCCTCAGGTGAGCAGGTGGCTGTGCTGGAGCAGCAGAGTTGATATTGCAGGTCATGTGACACGTGTGAGCCCCCAGAAGACTCTTCAGCATATACATCCATTACAGAAACACAGCTGTAGCACAACAAAACAAAATTTGTCTCACACAAATTTGCAATATAATTTGATCCATTAAGATCAAAAAGTCACATACAGTTGTGTCAGTACATTACTTTTGTTGTGTCCACAGCTCTGCCAGGAAAAAACTTTAAATCCTTGTGAACTCAAAACTGTAGAACACTGTGGAGCTGTTGTGGTTCCAGCACGTGGTTCCAGCATGTGCAGCCAGTTCTCACTGGAATGAAGGAAGCGCCACTGAGAAAAACTGTCCATGGAGTTCAGGAGCTGGAGAATGCAGCTATGCCAGGTTATATAACCTGGCACTTCAGCCACACCAGAGATTATAAGACAAACTTCAGAACAAAATTAATTTAAAGGAATTTCTTTTGTGCCACAGCCAGGACTTTGGAAAGACAGAGGTAGCATTAAGGAAGTTAAGAGAAAATCACAGCCCTGAGCCGCCGCACTTATTGTTGAGCTATTTAAATATTATACAGCGAGTTTTGATCTGGACCCAGACCGACTGGTAAAAAGCTGTGGAGTTGACCTTTATTCTGTTTGTCAGAATCCATAAAGGTCTGACTAATCGGGAAGTGGGTGTTACTGTAAATGACTTTCTGGGTTAATGTGGTCCAGATTTGACAAGTCTAGATGTACAAAAGTGGTTTTTGATTTACACCTGGTCTGGTGTGGTCTTGACAGGTGGGTGGGGGGTGAAATCAAGGTTTCACTAATCTGAATGTGGGTTTGAAACAAGTTCAGGCTTTAACAGGAAGGAGTCTAACACGATAAACAATAATCGAAGAAAAAACAATTAATACTGTCATTTACTGAACAGATTATTAATTTCCTTCTATTGACCTAAAGATAATTTAATGTCTCAAAAACAGGCAAGTGCCAGTTACTAGGAGGAGAATAGAAAGCTGTTTAATTCTGACTTGCAAAGGTTTTATCATACAACAGGGCCAAGTTTGACTCCTCAGTGATATACAAACATTTATAGTTGCATGGGAGATTGGTGACAGGCCGTCTGCAGAGATCTTAGTTTGGTGGTCAGAACAGCATCCAGCTGTGTCAGGAAAGACAGGTGATGAAAAAGAAAGAGAAAACCTGCAAACTAAAGTTACACTTTGAGGTTTTACACAAGTGAGCCAGTAAATTGCAAATATTACTACACACATATACTGTACCTAATACCAGCCCACTGTGCTACCAAAGGATTTGTAGCAGCTCTCCACTGTGCGGACACTTGCACTAGCACTCGGTTTGCTCAGTGATAAGTCAGTGGTGCCACCTCGTGGCAGATGAAAATGCCTGGATCTGCTATAAACTACAGATTATTTTGGTTAGATATTATAAATCTGCTCTATACTCTCCATTGGCAGTTTTATAGGTCCACCTAGCTAAAACTAAGTCAGTCTAATCCAACAGTCCTGCATAGCCACTTTGGGATAAATGCAGTGGACAAAACAACAGAAACACCTGTCAGTATAACACAGTCCAGCTAGACAGCAGCACAACCTGCAGCCTCCACAGTGATCACACAGGTGAACCAGCACTTCTGTGGAACAGTCTGAATGTCATCCCCTTCATGGAGGAGGACTTACTGGAGGACTATTGGGTTGGACTGACTCAGTGGTTCCTAATAAAATGACTGTGTGTCATGTTTTAGCCTGATGCTGTGTAACCAACAAAGCATTATATATCAAGATATTTGTTTCCTCCCGTCTTATTTGATTAATAACCTGCACAATCCTCAAACAGAAGCAAAACATGTCAGTTACTGTATGTAACCAGAACACCACAGGGGTTTCTGATGCTCCACGCAGGTTCATAGAGACATTATCAGCTCAGGGGAGAAGGAAAGAAACCCTGACAGGCTAGTGCAGTGATTCAGGACCACTGAGGGATTATTAAAATGTTTGGCCTGGAGGGAATACCATGCCTTTATTTTAATCACGTTAACTGCTTCTCAAGGCTGCGTCAGTTCCTTTGTGGGATATCCATATGGACAAACACTGTATGATACTGACAGACTGAGTTGTGTAGTATTTTCAGTAATAAACATTTTAATAAAAATGTGTACAAAATCTGTTAGTGCAGAAATCTTACTTCAGATGAACCACATGTTCACCTGCTCAAAAAGAAAGCTGACCAGTGGCGAAAATAGCACCTGAAAGAAGGTTCACAGTGAAGTCCCTGTAGGTCATTGGTTAGATACATTAAAGGTGGAATCAATGACAAACAAAACTCCTGACTGGTAAAACACCAGTAAAACAAAGCTCCAACAGGAATTCACAAAATAAGGTCGTCTTTTCAGAAAAAAACAACATGCATATTCAGGACAGAAAGCCAAGTAACTACTGGAACAGTTGGTAGTTTAACAGTACCAGAACAGACTCAGCTGTGGGTAATGCCACCTGGTGGTTTCCTCAAACATGTGTTTTTAAGGTTTTTGTGATTCCTGTTTGGTGCCAGCTGACAGTTTTCTCAAGCCCATCCGGCGCCGTCTCGTTAGATATCTTCTTGGTCCTGGCCTCTTCAGCTGACAAAGGTTCTCACACTCCCTCCGTGTCTCAAAGCGGTTTTCGTTGCCGCCGCACCCGCCGTACCAGAAGCGAGAACACTTACTCTCCTTCTTGTCGAAGAACCACATCAAGGCGTAGTTCTGGCAGCTGCCAATGTCCTGTGGGAGGGTACAGGGATCTGCATCAAGAAAGGAGAGAGATGGTTGTTACACTAGACATGTCGCTCATGTCGTCGGTGTAGCACTTCATTCACTCGCAGGCTCTGATGATCAAGTCCTCTCAGTTTAAGGGACCACCTTGGGTGTTACTGCAACAAGTGGTAAATCATTCATTTTCTTTTTCTTTCCATGAGACGTGGAACTTGCTGCAGACAGATAATCCACTGCAGTCAAAGTGATGTCTGATCCCATCCAGCCAACAACTTGTTTACACC